CAAACCATATCGAACTCATTTAAGTTTCGTTGCATGACTCTATCCAAAGAGACTCCACATAATGGTTCACGGTCAAACAAAGGGTAGAATGGTCTTAATAGTACAAAACAAGCCATTCTTCTGAAGCCTTAGAGCAACGTGACTGAAATTCTAAGAGGGTTTATATTAGCTTGTACACAATTGTTTGTATAACACGTACAAGACGTACACTGATTGCTTTTTTCCTATTTCAGCGTGCCTTTGTTACACGCGATAAATAGTGTTTTGATTTCTTCTTGGACGGTTGGAGAAGGTTTCCTGGAAAAAAAGGAGTTTTTTTTCTTCGATGAAGAGCACGATTCAAAATTCATTACAAACTGATCACGCCTAAAGCGTGCACCTTAGGTTTCAAAACAACAATCGATTTTTCATACAATCCGAGCTTTCATGGTCAAAGAAGATAACCTTGTCAAAACAATCAAATGAACCTCATTTGAAATTAACCCTTTGACCTCAAAGAGTGACTGATATCTAACTTCTCCCTAGATTATCACTCTTAAATCAAACATTTAAGTCACGAGGATCTAGGAAATGATCACCAACTAAAGAAGCTCATGATTGTCAAACAAATTCTCCTTATCAGTTCCTAAGGAAAAGTACAGGGAACAGTATGGAGAATATATATACTGATGTGAGGGTGTGCAATGTCAAGATTTTACTAATTTAGATATTCTGTCTTCTTTCTTTCACATATATGATTTCTTGTGCAATTTGTTATAAATAGTCACTTGTAAATTTTTCAGACTGCAAATTTAATGCGCTAATTACAATAAGCATTTATTTCCCATACAAAGCCCTGAACTATTGTTCTTAGCTGACGACTATACTTGGCTCAATAATCTTGGCCTGGTAGCTGAAGTGAGAAAGAACAACTGTCAAACTCGGTTTATGACATACCTTGACAATGAATGGGTTTTAAATTAAATGTAGAGGATCATTTTTTCCTAAGGGCTTCAATTACAATTTTTTATTTAGCATTACCCTTCTATTAGCTATTTTCTATGGCTCAGAATCTTAGCTATGAACTGACCTTGTTGTACGTATGACTAATAACAAATAACAGATCAATCTATAAAAAAGGAAATACTTAAGAAAGTCGCCAGCTAATTATACGAAATATAATCGCTACAAGTCGGATCAGAATTTTTTCGCTACAATATTTAGTTTAAATTCATTCGTGAAACATCGTTCATTCTTCATCATCGTTTTGCACGAGTGAATTTCTTCTCCCAATTTTTGGAAGTAAACTTTGTTTTTTTTCTGATTGATCTGCAACTGTAGAAAATCCTGCGAAACTGCCTCGACGAGTTTGAAAACGGGAGTATAACCTATCGTCTTCGTCATTAATGTCCAGGCTCCTTTTGTGCACCTGCACGCGCCAAACAGACGGGCTTTCGGCAAATTTCGAACAAGATGGTCTCCTTTGCTTCGTTTTAGGAACAACTGTGCGGCTTTTTGATGGGGCCTCATTACCTTGAGCACCAAGTGAGAACCGACGCCTCCGACCCTCTGGCCTTGTCAGTATATTTGCTAAATGATGAGGCTTTTGTTTTCCTTTCCTGGGAGTTTCTAGGATAACATCTAACTCTTTCCCAGCAATATTCTTAGATAAGTCACCGGGAAATGATTTTGAACTTGGCACACTGTACTGCACGTCTACGGCCACAAGGCCAAGAGATGGAAGAGACTTGCGACGCGTCAGCATTGGAGGCGCTCGATTGAACTTACTTATTGCACTACCACTTGATGAATCCACTAAGCTTTGCTGTCCCGAGTCGCCTTTTTCTTTGGAACAAATCGCGGAGCTGTCATTTCCTTTTGTGCTTGGTTCATTTATTTTGTAGTCGGATAAAGCTTCCAACACGGCCTGGAATTCAGAGCTTCTCGAGGAGCTGCAAGAGCTAACACGATTAGAAGTTTGATTCATACGGTCAACGTGACTGTGTGCAGCGCCTGACAAGTCAATCTTCAGGGGAATGGAATCAAGTTCGAAACCAACGTTCATCAGATCGAATCCTTCTTTCCACTGAAATTCACCATTGCTGGCAACGCTTGTAATACTGAAAAGTCAAGGAGGACAGTTTAATATTTTAAGAATGTCAACATCGATGCCTTTCCGTCCTTAACAAATGAACGCTATTTTCTGCTATGCACTGAGAGTTTTTTTTTGGACAAAAAGACAATAGATGCATAAAAGGTCTCCTTTCTTCTCCACGATGAAAAGATAATTACGAGGAAACCATCTAAAGAATAATTGTTACCAAAACAAACATCAGATTTGCATACCACCCTCGGCATATATTTAACTCAACGACGTAAAAAAGCTAGACTACATGGCTATTGCCTATAAACAGTTAAGCCCACTTCAGTTTGTAAGTCACGTTTTGTGTTATTTCTGTACTATGTGGATACGTTTAGGTTTGATCTTATAACCTGTGTTGGAAACCTGCTAACCTTTTCATCGGAGATTTGATCTAAGCGAATGACAACTAAGATCTCTGTTAAATACTTTTCCGTTTCCCCTTCCCTAAATTTTTTTTTCGGTTTGCAAGCAAACAATTTGCAAAATAATTGCTTTCAGTATTTTTAAAGAAAACAGGCCACTTCGGAATTGTTTTAAAGTTTGGCTAAGTCCACGCCCTCTCTTTGCTTTTGCTTCTTTTAATCAATCTGACTCCTAACAAGGACTTTTAAGGTACCAATGGGAAAAGGTTTTGTTCTGGTGACATCAGAAGAAATTTGAAGGGCACCCTGTACCCTTCCTCTCCTCCCTTCTCACTAGAAGATGAACTCATGTTCGCACGTGCGCTTGAGTTATGTAACTATTCATAGTGCAGGTCCAGGCCAGACTTTTCATAACTAAAATATAGCAATAATATTCGATGTTCCTCCCACTTGTTTCCCAAAATATAGCATGAAGCCTCTGACTTCAATTTTTGCTTTTAACGACTAATTTACGAATAAACCTGTGTCTTCTCTGGAAGTCAATTGAATAAACTTATATAATAAAGGTTAAACAAAGAAAATATCAACGGTCGATATTCTGTTGGGTAAAACTTGAGACCAGGGAGATAAACTTTCATCTCCTTAAGCATCTGATAAGAAGGGGTTTTCAAAAAGTTTGCATTTGATTTGGAGGGAGCCGAAATACATTATTTTCAATATGAGTTGCTGATTCGATACACGTACCTTCCTCGCCCACTGCAGCTTACTGGCATTTTATCTGGTTTCCGATAAATTCACTTCGAGTCCTGGTAAGAAAGTAAGCTATAAAGTTACGAAAAGGCACGTTTTCGTGTGACGTTCATGCTATAACCTTTTTCAGCAGAGACCTCTCTGAATACTGTGGAAGTCAAATTGGCGCGGCCTTGTTCTATTAAAACGACCAGACGATTTACCATACAATGGTCCAATTTACAATCTGTAAAAAAGAAAATGTGCTTATTTTAGTTGTAAGGAATTGGCTGAAGGTGACATTTTTTTAAATTTATAAAGCTTTGTCTTTCATATGTTAATTGCACCGTTCATATGCTAACTAGCTTTTCCAGTTTCGACCTAAGCTTGGCCTCAAACTGTGTGGATAGTTAGCTATGCAATGCAAAAATGGCCAACAGTGTCACGGATCTGACAGTTTTGAAACCAAGTAGGTTGCTGATTCATATAGACTGATGGAATTTAAAAGTGTATAAGTAAAAATGTAACCAAACCAAGTCATGCGCTGTACCCATATAATGACAGAATCTGACTTTAAGTTTTTAATGCATTCTTTGCGAAGGCATGGCCTGTTCCTTCGGCGGCAACCTTTTTTTAATCAAAGTCAGGATGCAGTTTCGATAAATCCTCGGTTCCTCTACCGCCGAGAGATTTCCGCATCAACTACTACGACACAGATTGTAATATCACAATTTATCATTAGCATGGGCTAATCTTGGCGAGTATCAGTGACATATTCGTACAGAGTTGCACCCAGCTAAAAGATACAATTTCCACGCAGTTACAAGTTATATCAACTAAAATAGCAAGCAAAACGTTCAGTTATCCCGAATACATAGAATCACAAATACCATGACGGCCAAATTTCTCAGAATCTCACGCCATGCAGCAGTTTATTAAACTAATGAATAGGATCAATGGCTCAGTGATTCAACATTGGCAAATATGCATCGAGTAACCTACCACTTGCTCTCAAACTTAAAGCAGAAATGAATCCGTGCAAAGAGTTAAAGCGCTAACGTATTCTCCTGAGGAACTGTTCGATCCTGAAAGCAATTTCTAACTGACTCCCTAAGTGCTATACGTTCTATTTCAACAATACTCAAAGACAAAAGGACACAACAATACTCTTTTCTTCTGTGGGTTGCTCCGGTAATGCGATTAGAAACTATGTATAGAGCTCAAAGGGAAACGTGAAAGGAAACAATTAGCTAAGGCAACCTTTTGTCATGGGAAAACAATATTGATGCCCTACGTATAAACAGATCCTTTAATCAGTCATTAGTTTCAATGAAAATAGAGACCAATGAGTAATTTCTGCTGTAATCAATGGTGGTCACAAAAAGATTCTAAAATTTGGGGTAGGGAGGGGGGTTTGAGTGTAAAACAGGGAACGTATTTTGTTTCTGATCTGGCCTTGCCGTAAATTAGGGCAGCAATTGGGTATCATTATGTTGTATTTCCTAGAGGGACGTAACAATTTAGTCTTTCTGTGGTGCCAATTGATTTAAAATGCTTCAGGGATGCGTAACAAAATCCGCCATAAACAAAAGATTACGAGCGGAATGCACAAAATAGCTAGATACCGCCCAGTTGACAAAATGAGATCGAGCCGTGTTTCCCTATGCGTCTTTTAGATAGGAAGTTCTCGCAATCGTTTTTCTGTAATGTTTCAAATCAAGAGTACATCATCTGTTGTCGCAGACCGCAAAAGTGAGTGTCTCGCCACCTGGAACTACGTGATTTTCTCGTGATACCTTGCATGTCTGTATATTGGCTCAACCTTTCGCGGAAACGTGGCCCCTCAAACCCGTGCGCTTTCAAATCGTGAATTCTTGGCAAGGTTTTTGCTGTTCTGGATTGATTTAGAGCCAGTCACCGGACTAAATTACTGATGGGCCACTATGATTTAATTTGGCTTATTTGTGTGTAATATTGGCCATCCTTTGTTACTTTTACCCTCTTGCAAATTTCTTGAAATCATTTTTACTTTGCAAATTACTAAGAATTTTTAGAATTCTAATTTGATAACCTTTGTTTTTTCGCTTTCTTGATTGCCTTCCTCGAAGTATAGGGATTGAGTGTTTTTACGAGTAATCTATTTCTGCTCTGGCCACGAAAGGACGCTGAGCAAGCAAACGCAAGGCGAAATTGCGCCCGCGCAGTGCGAAACTGCGTCATGAAAGCGTGCGTTACGTATGTCAAGCCATTGCTAGGTTTCGGCTTCTTGTGTATGAGTGTTTTCTGCGATAAGTTTCTCTTTTTGTCCTTTGGAAAGGACCCGATCAAGGTCTCTGTCCTCCTCCTCCTCTGTCCTCTTGTTTTAATTCAAGCTGGGACAAATTTTTCTGAACACGATTGGTATTGAAAATACAAGTACGGTGTAGGTGTCATTCTTGTAAGTGGCCAGTTTTATGGGACAGCTATGCTTGTGTTATTGTTATTGAAGCAAGTATCATTTGCGCATGCTGGTCGAAAGACTTTTGGGTTCAATTCATTTTCTCGTAAAAACGACAAGAGTCGTATTTTTATTTATGCAAACTTTTAAATGCTGAGTATTTTGTTTCTCAAATGTTGTCATAATTTCGACTGATTGGTTCTTTCCTTCTACCTTTCGTAATAGGACATTGTGTTCGTAAATTCCGTCTGTCGTCGTACTCATGATTACTAAATCAGGGTCCAAATTTGTCATTCCTTCGTAAAGTTACATACTAAATTGGACTCCACTCGGTCCTATTGACATTATTAATCGCTTTAAACAACCTCGTGTTCCACACTCCTCCAGATCGTAGTGTATGGTAATTTCATTATTATTCTTTGTTTCTTTACATTATATTGGCTCAGTAGAGTTTGGTAGTTCAGTCAATTGTTTCCTGGACCACAGCTGGTTAAAAGAGTTATTGACGAGCTTAATTGCGTAGACTCTCTTGTTTACTTGTCAATATTTGTCTCAATGGATGCGAATCTAACAAAGGAAGATTGATTAGGCCTCATTACTTTTGAAAACCAATGAGTCGTATAATTAGCAAGGTTTACTCAGCTTGCTAATTATAAAAATATATCTAAATCATTTGAACGTATACTCCTTCGTAAGAAGCCAGTAAGCAGGATTTCGTCACGGTTTCAACAGGAATTACGATTAAAAATTATATTCTAATTAGATCACAAACAAACACAGACCGATGAATTGGATCAGTACCACGGATATCGTAGAGTATGTTTTAATAACTGGAATAAACAAGGTCATTAGAAGCGAATCGAGAAACACTACAAAACTTCTTCAGTCACACTATTTTCAAAAGTGTTTAGAAGTTGTCTATATCATCCGAATAATAGTGAATTTACAATTCACTTGACTTGAAACTAGTTGTATTTAGTCTTCCATTTAGTCACTACTTCCAGGCAAACCACGATCCATACTTTGTTGTGTTTATACCCAGCTGTGTCTAAGGAGTTTTTAAACAAATACAGTCTAATTATTTTCCAAAACTCCTTTAAATTTTGGAAAGCGGCTTCCTCTTGCCCCGCGGCTCTGAGACTTGGCTGTCATTTCAATGGCTCTCTTTCTCTCTCTATGCGATGTGACTTCGAACTGAGTTTCTGCTGCAGCTTTAGCGTCCTTAAGAGTTAACGGCACATTAAAAACGATGTTCGTCACTTTTGAATGCCGTTTCATTGCCTTGGTGTCGTTAGTATTAGCGACACCTTTTCCTAAGATTGCTTTCATTTGTTTTGGGTTTCGGGAAGTGCGTTTTGTAGAAGTGACTTTTATTATCTTTGGAAAGCCAATGAGCCAGTTGTGAAATTGAGACTCTTTTGAGATTGAGCGCTTCATTATTTTTGGTATGTTCGGACCAGTACATGTGATAGCTGGGAATGATTCATGGCTTCGTTCTATTCTTAAAGACCGTAAACGCCTTTGCTTCTCTTTTACTGTCCATCCTTGGTAGACTTTCTCTTTGTCCAGTGGTGGAAGTTTTCGAGATTTTGCTTCCCTGGCAAAACGCTTTCTATCTCTGCACATGTTTATCAGGTCTTCTTTGATTTTTCTCTCTTCAAATTTGTAATCAATGTTAGTTTGAACTCTTTCCTTTTCTATTTCTTGTTCGACGACTTTAAGTTTCTTTATCCGCTCTTGAAAAATCGCTAGAGCTTTATCGTAAACTGACTGATGGCCTTTCGATGAAGATCTCTCGCTCATGTTCTATGTATTGAGCTAGTTTAAACCAGTTTACCGACCGGATAAATTTAGAAACACTCTAAATGAACCTCATTTACAACTAATAAAGTTTGTAAGTCTGTTATTCAAAGCTTAAATACGTTGGCAGTTAGATCTCTAGCATTTTCTGCTAATCCACTTAATGTGACGTACTCAAAGAAAAGATATGGCTTAATAGCGCGGAACCCATTTTGACAACAATAAATGAGGCTTGACAATAATTGTACTCCTTTGAGGCGACAGATAATCATGTCGTTGAGAAATGAACAATAGCCAAACGAAAAGGATCATTCACCCGACGAGATTCAGTCAGATTCAATCCTGAAATTTAATTGCTGAGAAAAGATCTCTGGTCTGTGAAGAAGGCCTGAGAAGATAGTTCTCTTTAAAAAACAAAAAAAAAAAACAAACCATATTTCTGTAATCATAACCAAGAACCTTACAACAACGAACAGCTCTGTTGTAGTAAATCAGATGGACGTGGGGTTAAGAGAATTCGAATTATGTTTGAATGAGGTGAAATGAACTCAATGTTATTTTTGTATTTTTATGTGGCGGCCAGTCATGTTTGTTTACTTCACACATTGTTGTGATCTTTTGGCATTCTTTTGAGAAAAGTTTAACATCTATTTCGGGTGCTGGCCAATTCCTAGTATTCAGCATTCTGAAGGTTTTATTGTTTTATGTCAGTTTCCAATGTCTGACTATTCCTACTTGCTCGAGAAGGCAGTCTGAAATGGCTCACTATTCCTACCTACACGCGAAGGCAGTTTCAGATGGCTGATTATTCATACTTGCTCGAGAAGGCAGTCTGAAATGGCTGACTATTCCTACCTGCACTAGAAGGCAGTTTCAGATGGCTGACTATTCTTACCTGCATGCATGCACGAGAAGGCAGTTTCCAACGGCTGACTATTTGTACATGCACGAGAAGGCAGTTTCAAATGACTGACTATTCCTACCCGCAAAAGAAGGTAGTTTCAAATGGCTGATTATCCCTATTTGCACGTTTGCTGGAGAAAGACGGTTATGTGTTATGTGGTGAAAACTAGTCACCTTTTCACAATGGAGGCGCGATGACTTAAGCAGCAGATTTTGATAAGTCTAAGTTCTAAAACGCGCGTGAGGGGTACACGAGTCCGACGGCTAATTCTTGCAAAACCTTAGTAACTCATAGCTGGAGCTGCTGAAGTTGGACATTGGATTGAATTCAAAGAAGCGAAATCCTAAGGGTGGGGGGGGGGGTAGTTACCTACGTCATTGTTCTGTCTATAACCCCTTTCGGAAGATCAATGACCTCGCACGGCTCAATTAGTGAGTTACCGGCAGAGGCGGGCCATAATGTCTCCGCGTCCCAGCCTCCGCGCCAAATTCCCCCATTCACGTATCTTTAACTCTTTCAAAATGAACTTGTGAAATTGACCTGAAATAAAATTCTATGCAACTAAAGATGCGAGTTTGTATCCCACTAAAGTGCAATTGCCGTCAAAGCACCTTTAAATTTTCCTGTACTTAGAATGTCAACATACACATTAAACTAATAAATATCTTTGCATCTCCATGATATTTACTTATTGGCTCGTTCGTTTCCGATGAACCGAGGCCAAACTAATTAGCCGACCGATGAAAATTAAAAAATACGCCGAAATGTCCACAGAATGGAATGCGTCTCTCGCTTCTCCTCACAAACGTTTGGTCTGTATTCGATTTTCTTACTTGTTTATAACAGTGTCTCTTGGTCTTCTTTTCTACTTTGGGATAACAGTGGTGTTACCCTCAGCGCAAGCAGGACTTTTTCATGAGACGAAATGTCTCGTAAATTTCAGCGTCTTCGATGGTGAAGAAGTCTGTGATTGCGGAGGCGGTTTTCCTTTGAGTTCCTGCTATCCTTGCCTTAAGATTTATGTAGTATTTAGTACAGAAAATATCTCTACTGGAATAAAAGATACAAAGAGCATGGAACAATCAGTTCTTTACAAAGATGTACTCAACGTTGGCGACAAGGTAGGCCTAAGTGTAATATATAAAAACTCCAATTAAGCCGAATTGAGAAAAAAGTTCAAGCAGTCAGTGGTTTTATAATCGTATCAAAGGTAAATGTATCTAAAACATGAGCTACTGTAAAAATTTTTTCAATGTTCAAGTTTAATTCAGTTTGATGAGCGGGCAAGAAATGATTACCTTAAGCTTCAAGTAAGTATATTTTTATTTTTAAAACTGTCGGCAAGGGAGTACGTATAACAAGAAAATTTGGTTTATCAACCGAGTTGATAATGTAAAGTAACCACCGTAAAGAGTTTTCAAAGCTGACGTCTCGAGCGTTAGCCCTTCGTTAAAGTGAATGGAGAAGGGCTAATGCTCGAAACATTTGCTTAGAAACGCTTTACGGTGGTTAATTTACATTATCTACTCGGTTGATAAAACCAAATTATCTTGTTATATTAATTGTTAGTTTGTTTTGGAGTGAATTGTTTTCAAGGCTTGATCCTGCTGTGGTCCATACACGGGGGGGCTCAGTAGGTGCCAAGAAAAAATCACTTGCGTGCGAAAACTAATTTAATTCAAATAAATCAACGTCAAGTCAACCCATTGTGAACGGATTTGAGGTCGCGCGCTAATCTTTTAAGTCGCTACAGTTCTTGGCAACGGCGAATATGAAAATGCTAAAAATTTTAATTTATGTGGGACATAACGTCAGGTACCGTCACATTGTGCCATGCAACATCTTATCACGACACACAGGATAACATCTCTTCACGTCACGTCGCATAACGACAGATCACTTCACGAAGCGTCGACCCACGCTGGGTGACGTCACCTTACAACAACTAGCGGCAACTAAACACGAGTGTTGAGTTCAAACCTTAACTAAAATATTTCTGGGGCCAAAGAGAAAGAAGAGGTACTAATGAAAAAAAAATCTAAGATTTTGAAATGATATACAGTTGTTCTCTTCTTCTCAGTCTCTTTCCGTTCAACTCTTTTCAGTGCACTCTTAAACCGCCTTCTTGTTGCTTACGCTCAGAGGAGGAAAATCAAAAACAAGTCAGAGACTACATGGAATTAAACGGGCGGAATGATTCCTGGATATCTTGCTTCTACAATAAGCTTAACCAAACTGAGGTTATTGCGACCAAAGGAAATTACCAGCTGGATATATTTATGTCACTCTTCTGGCCATTACTAGGAATAGCTATTGGCTTGAGCTTGCTCAAATACATGAAACGTTTGCAGCCGGGAAAAACGAAGAAGAAATTATCAACAAAGGACAGAAGACATATTTTAGCTGCGACCACTCTGACTCTATTTCTCAGAGCCGAAGGAGAACCAGCCGTTGCTTTTCAATCAAGAGGCGAAAAGAAAAGTTTGAGTTATATCTAGTATTTGGTGTAAATCTTGATTCAGCTGGCCCCAGCGCTAAATCGGCGATTCCGATTGGCTCTCCTTTTCACCAACTTATAAACTTCAAGCATTCTAATAGCAGTGCGACAGTCTGATTGGTTGATAATCATTCTGCACTAAGAGCTATTATTGCATCGTTTGAAAAAAGTGTAGACGTCTTTTTTTTTTACCGAATAAGCATTCTACGAGGACAAGACTCGTTTAAATATATTGCACCTTTTTGACAAAGATCACCACCAAGATCACTTGTTATATATTTATAAACTATCGAAAGTAAACACGTAAAATCATGGCTTGCATTGATAATGTAGGTGAATGAAAATGGTCAAATTTCTGCAAAATCTTGTCATAATTTCTTTTTTTGGGAATGAAAAATATTTCAATTCTGAAGTTAAATTACACATCTATGGTACACATACCTAACGTACAAAGTACACAATTTCCATTCGCTTCAATTTAATTGGATCACTTTAAATTTATTATCAAAGAAATATTTTCTCGTCTCCTTTTTCAAGAACCACATTCAGTGAAGATTCTTTCCAAAAAACATTGTAAAAAACGTTAATTTCAAGGAGGACACATTACACCGACGTTTTGAGTGACATGCTTATTGCTATGAAAATCTACCTAAGTAATTTCAGTCCATTTTTTTATTCTTGCTTGCAGCTACCTCCCCGAGAAAAAGGTTACCATTTCCCAGTGGAATTATGATTAAAAAAGGTAGTAACCAAAATAATTTTGCTCTACATACTTATAAAGACATCTGTTTTATCAAGTATCTGTGCCATGATTCTCTTGTCGTGGGGATTGACTACACGATATATAACTATGCCCGCTACAAAACGTTGCAATTTGAAGATATGTATCAAATATTTATACCCTTTCTTTTCTCATCAAATATAGACACTTCTTAATGAAAAAAGAAACGGTTTATATATTTAATTCATGTTTTCAAATTGCAATGTTTATATTTAAAGTGATATCTACAATGATAGGTAATAAAGGTTAAAATGTACCAGTCAAAAAAAAATTCGCTCACGATCGCAAAGATTCCTTACGAATAAACGGCAAAATTTCTAGGTCTCGGCGGGCTGTGTATTTTGTCGCGTAACATCATATGACCCAAGAGTTGAACACGTTGGTTATTGCATATAAGCAATAAATTGTAACTCAATGACAATAATTACTATTTGAGGGAAAATTTCTTGAATCCTGTCACTGACAAAATCAAGTTTTGTATCGTACTTCATCTTTAGCTCTTTAACCTAAGGCATAGGAAATCAAACTCTATCTTTCGAGTATTATCTTGTAAATTAAGCCTAAGACTGAGCTGGGGAAATAAAGATGGCGTCTAAGTTCGAGGGAATACGGTTATCGTCGGATGCTTGGTATAAATTTTATCGCTCCGTTGCCATGCGATGAGTTTCCCGTCGGTGTTCAAAGCAAAAAGTTGTTGACTGTCTTCTGAAAAAGTCAGGCTGAAAGAAGATGAAAAAATAACATAATATAACACTTGAAAGAATTCACCTCGTCTTACCAATCTTGATAAATTAGGCATAACTTCATCAATAGATTTCTTTTCCCTATTCAGAGGAGTTCTCTAACATTGTCAAAATGGCATAAGATATCATGATGTATCCATGCACTGATCATTCTAATACACCTACAAAAACAAATCAACGATTAGATATTATGAAAATTGATATGCAGGGTTACTAGCCAATCAGAGAGCGACACGCAGGTCACGTGGTTAGAAAGGAAAACTTAAATTGCAGAATAAGGACTTCCTGTTTTCATACAAATATTCAATTCTCGAGACATCTTATTCTTTATTGTTGCTGACAGTTAAACACGCTTCATTCTGGTTGACAACTTTATGTGGATCTGAAATCTCCGTTGTAATCATGTGACCTGAATACTGCTCTCTGACCGGATAGAAATCTTAATCAACAACCACTGAAACGGACAGATGCAAATTAAGAAATCTCAAAACAATAAAAACTACGCAACCTCGCCACTTGGTTGAGATACTGATCAAGTACAATGTCCTGTACGTGGCTTAGGTCCCAAGTGCTCCATAACCTGCCAGAGGCCAGATGAAGAACATTATTTTGAAAGCATAAAGTTAATTTTTGCACAACCTTACATGAACGAGTTAACATCATGAAGCGGAAGGGGGAGAGACGGGGGAGGGGGGGGGGGGCTTAAGGCTATAAAGAAAGGAAGGGAAGGTATCCCCAGGGCAGCATGCTCACCTTATGGCTCCATTGCTTAGTCCAGTGGCGATGACATTAACAGATATTCCCTCAGGCGCAGCGGAAAATTCCAAGCAGTTGATCAAGTACTCACAAGAGGCTTGGCCAATGAACCTACCATTGACTGTCCATAGTTTAATTACGCTTCCTTCCTCTATAGTGCTCTCTTCAGACACGTACTTCACTATAATATAAACGAAAAAGCTGAATATTCTTTGCTCAATATTCTGCCATGCAAGAGTCTGTTCAACTATCTTTGAGCTATGGATGAGTTGTGAGGCAGGCTATATTGCGACATTTTGACTGCTACCATGTTTCTTCGTCACGCAGTCCTCCCATACATAGGTTGCGTTATAACCGAGGTAACATTTGTCACCTGATTACACGAGCAGTTACAGAATTTTTTCCACGTTAGGGAAACCTACCGCAGTTAAGGCACTCAGTTAAGGTTAGGACAATAGGAAGGTCATCCTTTGATTACAAAAATGTAGCTCTCACTGATAATCTTAGAGAAACCGGGAAGAATTCTCATTTCAATTCTTGACAGCGATCTATCTAAAAACCGTACTTGTATGTGAAACTGTTACTACATCTCCTGTAGTTTTACTGATAGCTACGGCTTCCACGGTGTTGGGGTGTTCCAAACATCTCACGTAACTTAACCTACAGAGAAGGACAAAAGAAACAATTACCAGCAGCTGATGAATTAATGCCTCGAAATACTAAAAAGTGACCTAGAGAAGAAAGCGAGGTTGTTGTATGCCTCTGCATGCCAGTAAAGAATCGATAGCTCGGTTGTCAGAGCATCCGAACACAAAATTAGAACTAGCTAGGATTAGTGTAACTTGCATATAGGGCTAATAATGAAATTCTATTTTTTTTTCTTGGTCATCAATGCATCACACAAGCAGGTTAAGAAAAAGGAGATATATGAATGGGGGAACCAAAAAAAAAAACAAAACAAAAAAAAAAACATACAGACACAAAACAACAACAGGAAAGAAAGAACAAATGATAAAAACATCAACTACACATGTACTGTTTCAGCTTTAAATTCTAAAAAAATTGCCAAAAAAAACTACTACATCATCTACTTCTACATATGGTTTGTTGAAAGTGTCTCTTAGGTTTGTTTGACCAAACATAGAGCAAGTAAAGCAACACTAGACGAATCTTAGATTGCATTCGATACTCATTTAAAATTTTCCCTTGTCGTCCCGATCGCTTGAGTATTATTTGAGACAATTAGTGCCTTCCCTTAAAATTTGGAAAACAGACTTTCGCATTATTTAAATTAATATCAATTCCGCCACTGGGACTTGAAAACTGTTACGTCCTAAGAAAAATCTTACCTATTCAAATCCCAAATGATGGCCGTCGTATCCCAACTACCACTGACAACAATACTGAAGGCTTGACACAACTTCATACATGTGATGTAATCCTTATGTCCGTGAAGACGAACTCTCGAACCCAGTACTTCCATACCGGTTTCCTGCAATATTGGGTGACAACATTTGTATTTCGATTCGCAAACAAGAGATACCTTATAATAGGGCAGCAATTCGAGATTAAACTTTCAATTAATGACTCGCCCATCAACAGTAATTTCTTTCCTAAATACAGGAAGTATTTAAGGTAAGTATTTAAGGCTTAAATTTTTAAATTGGAGAAAAAGTGTTAGCAAAAAGGAAAAACTATCCATTTTAGGCGTCAACTCATCATTAACAAAAGCTACTGTCGTGCCGATATTATGCTGTTCACACTGACCTTAATCCTATTTCTACAAGTTGAACTCAGTGTTTACATGTACCAATGTAATTTGAAAACATCAGTTACTGTTCTGAAACTGTTATGCGACGTATGCAACCTGCAGATAAAGGGGGCGAGTGTCTCTGAAGAAAGTGTAGTGCTGCGTCGCTGAGAGGTATCACAAAAGAATCTGGTTTGAGGTGATCATGTAAATTTGACAACGTAAAGACATTCCTTACTAGAAGTCTTTCCAGAGTTTCAGAAGGTAAAACGAGTTGCGATAGTAAACAGCGCTGAAGTAGTGTAAGAATAAAAAAAAAGAGAGAGGTTTCGGTCGGGTAATAAACAGATCCGACCCAAACCTCTCCCTTGTTTACTCCCCAAGCTACCTTACTATTACATTACGCTACATACCTTTCGCTCTGACGAAGGGCTAACGCTCGAAACGTCAGCTTCAGAAACTCTTAACATTGCCCGATTTACATTATTTCCTAACACACCCCCCCTCCCCCAAGGACGCAGCACCTCAGTCTCCATATCAACGTTCCTCTTTATACCTTAGTGGTAGCTGCATATGTCGCGCAGATTCATATGGAGCGA